TATTCGTTTATCCCATATTTAATTCGTGATTTTTGTATTGTTTTTTGTATAATTGTCGATTTTATATGCGGTAAAAATAGCATCTTCTCACAAAGAATTAAAACACTTTTTCCATATAATAAGGATTATCCGCTTTAATTAAAGCACCACTGATTTTAATTAATCAAATCCTGAGCTTGTTAATAAGATTTTTCTATCATTTGTTTATCATTGATGTAATAAACAAAATACAGATCAGATTTTTTCTCAGATCTTGATGATGATTATTTCGATTGGTTTGATATATCCTATATTTAGATAAATCTTTTGTATCATCAAATATTGGCATTATTTTGAAATGTAAAAAAAATTGATCGATTAGCTTGTGGATCTTGATCTCGAGTGATTGAATTGAACTTTTGATGATTGAAAATAGAGAATGAATTGATTTTATTCATTGAATAAAAAGTTTGTATATTTAATATATATACATCATTGAATCAGTCCGGTTTTTAATCGTGGATTGATGATGATTACAATGCAATTGTCCATCCAATGATGATTGAACTTATTAGATCAATATATATTGAATGTTAAAGATTAATTCTTTATATTTGATTCATATATATGAATTAAAACGAGAAAACGCCCGGATATGTGTGGCGTTTTATAATTTCAGATTCAAACAAATCTATCTCTCCCTTTTTTGATCATTATCATCATAATCAAGTATAAGTTTTTTTTGCTTCAGTCCTGAAATTATCTTGGAATTGTAGTTGTGCGTGTCCTTATTTGCAATCACTTTTGTTGTTGTTGTTGTTGTATGATCGAAATATATTTAACAATAACAAGAAAATGATTCACACCTAAACTTTGATCTTTTTTTCTATGTGAATTTGTGATGAGATAATGTATCTTTGTCATTTCGGGTCCGAAAACACGATTCTAGAATATATTGCTGGTGAATTGAAATGGGATTTCTATTTATTTTTTTATGTGAAATAAAAATTGTCCACAAATTTAATCACCGTGAGATTTTTAATTCTTTTTTTTATCACGCCACCACATTGGTTTATATAAATCCTTTTGGAGATTAGGCTAAAATCGTTTTTATGTTTTTCTTTTGAAAAAAATTACCCCTGAAGAATGTAAGGAAAAAAATGTTTTATGATTTAAAAATCTTTAATTTTTTCCTGAAAAAAAATTAAGGTTCGGCCCAAAACTTGCCGATACGATTTGTATCAAGAAAGGGCTGATGTTGTTGTTTTTCTTTTCGACAAAACTATCACATCATAATCATCTTAATTATTGCTAGATGATAATCGATAATGAGATTTTTTTTCGTACAACAAATTTCGGCATTTTAAAAAAGGATAAAAAATTTTGCCCTGAAATGCATTTCATGATTTTTCAAGCTAGATTGATATAGATATATTATGGAATTCGAACACATCGAGACAATAGAACATTTCATTTTTCAAATTTTAGGTCATCTGGTCACCTTATTTGCCAATTTCGTTCAATTATTATCTATTAACATCAACATATCCAATAATTATTATTTACAAGTTATCACAATTCTTCTTTTTTTGGTTAAAAATAATGTTAAGTGGTCAGTGAGTTTGGTGCCTGTTGATTGTTGCCAGTTTTTTTTTATAAATTTTGAATATTTCTCTTGTTATGGTCGGACGAATAATTTGCATCCACACACACACACACACACTACCTGGACAACGAATTGTTTTCATCTTTTTTTTGTTGTACATTCCAATTTTTTTTTCTGATGCATTTGGCTATGATAATAGCTGTGAAAAAAAATTAGCCAAATTTAATTCCAATGCACATACACACTATACACCCAGATTTTGTTGTTGTTGTTGTTGTCCATTCAACTCAGTGGTAGGCATCTGATATATAATTCGTCTAAAATAATTTACCCAACCTGTATTTGTAGTAGTAGTTATATGGTCAAAAATCTTTTACCTTGATGAATGTGGATTGTATTTTATTTTTTTGCAGATATCAAAAAATAATGCATAAGGTAAAATTACAAAATCCAGAAAAAATAACTACAACATGCATTCATGATGATGAGCAATCTTCTGTTTGAATATACATATGTATATGTGTTTTTGTGTGTGTGTGCAAGCAATTAATCTCTAGCAATTTATCTTTGAAAAAATAGTTCTTTGTTTATTTTCTGGCCATAAAACATCAACGAACAATGATGATAATGCAGATGATGATGGCTGTTTACGAGTTGATGACGATCAAAAAAAAAAAAAAAAAAAAATGGTCCAAAATGATGATATTTCTCTCCTTCTCTCATTGACTCAACCTTAATCATAATACTGACTGTATGATGTTTGTAGTTTAGAAAATAAAAAAAAAGATCATGATCATTTTTTTTCGTTGATTATCTTTCATTCAAGTGATCATCATCAGCATCATCATCATTTAATGAATTGATGAAACCGTTTCATGCCATCACATAATAATAATGACGAGGATGATGATGATGATGATGATAGTCTACTTAATAAACAATGTTTTTTTTTGATTATTAAAAAAATTATTATTGGCATCAGATTATCCGTTTGATGATGTTCACAATATATCTGGATCGGTTCACATGTGTGTTTGTGTGTGTGTGTTGACCTATCTGATTATGATTGGCCAAAATATATTTCGATTAATATTTGATGCCTGGATTTTAATCAATTCATTTTTTTTCTCATTTTTTCCCGATTAGTACCGTTGATGATGATTATGAGGAGAATGAACTTTCTTTATTGATTAATTGGTTTTCAATCAATAATTTATATTTTTTTTTTCGTAAATAATTTGATATATCGAAAATGATCGTCATGCTCGTATCTGTGTGTGTCAGTTGGCTGCTATTATCGTCGTTGTATGATATTTTCTAGAAAAAAAAGAAATTATTTGTACAAAAATAGCCATATCTTTTGTAAATTATTGTTATTTTTTTTCTGTTTTGACCATTGAATTGTCGCTATGTCAATCATTAATGTGTTTGGGGTTTTAAGCCAACATATGAAATTTGCTAAATGGGCCATTTTTTGTTTTTGTTTTCTAGACAGGTAAATTGTTAGCTTTTAAATAGCTTTTTAGTCTACCTCCCGATTTTAAAACCTTTTTTTTAGTTGAAAAACAAAACAAAAAAATAACATACACTTCCGTCCGGAGAGTATGTTTATTTCAAACATTGTATTGAATTACCGTCCTTGGTAATACCATTCATTCATTACTCGAATTTATCGTCTAAAAAAACATCTTATTCAATCGATCATAGTCTGTGTGTGAAACAAACAAACATCCATTCGTGATGGAGGCACCCAGACTAAATTCTCAAGTTTAGATTTCAAATCGAATTTATATTATATATTTTTTTTCACCCTTGGGCATTATTTTTTCACTTCTTTTAAATATTCATTTTATATAACCATATGGGGGAGAATGATAGCACATTTTCGAACAAATCGAACCGTTTTTTTCTGTGTGTGTGTCTGTGTATCTATTAATAATTTTTACTTTATATTTTTGCCGATCTATCCTAAATAAATTGCATCACGAATAGTTTTTTTTCATCTCTTTTCAAACCATAGTAATTTGATAATTTGTCTTCATAATTTGATTCAAATTCTTTTTTTTAAACAAAAAAAAAGTTTATTCCGATATTTAAATAATTGATTGATCTGATCGATCATATTGATTTGAGAGACTAGGTTTGAAAAATAGCGTTTTTCATTGGAATCGATCAATTTAAAAAAAAAAATTTCTGGTGATGAATGATTCAAATACTGTGGAAATAATTTTGCCAACTTTTTTTCTGTCCTCAAATTTCTATCATTTGTTCAATCGATTGCAATTGATTGATTGATAGATGACTGAAATTGTGGTCAACACAAACCATTTCTCTCTCTCTCTCTCTCTCTCTCGATCACAATTTTTTTTATCTAGATTTTTTTCCGTTGTCAAAAAAAAAAAAATTTTCAAAACAAAAAATGTCAACCATTACGAAAACAAACAAAACATTACATTGTTTGTTCCGCTATTTGATTTGATTGTTTGCCCATCTATTTATTATGGCCGAATACTTTTTTTTCCAATCCACATCATGAATCGTATTCAAATAACAATTTTTTTCCCAATCGATTTAATCCAATCAATACAAATCAAAATGATGATGATGACCATCATCATCATCAAGAGTCAATCATCGAAAAAAACTAAATTTGAATTTTTATCATACTGAAATTGTGATTGAGCACAATGAAGAAAAGAAAAACCGGAAAATAAAAAATGCAGACACATGATTTGTTGTTGATTTCTTTCTTTTTATTTTCGATGGAAAAGTTTATTTGAATTGTAGATTTTTGTTTTGTTTTGTTTTATTTTCCATAAATTTTTTATCCCCCGAATGCTTCTGCCCGCTATTTAGTGTTGTTTGAGGCTTTTTTTTATTTTCTTATTAATGATGTTTTTTGTATGTTTCCTGGCATATTTAACCGTGTTGTATTATCTATTAATTTGACTTGTGTGAATGAATGAATGAATGAATCAAATCAAAACTCTTTTCTGCCCATCGAGTATGCCAACACCTTGAATTTTCGTTTTTGCTTCTGATACTATCCCAATTTTTTTTTCTCATTTCCACAAGTTTTGATAGATTGTACTTGTGGAAATTATCATTTTTTTCAGGCAAAATATGTAAAAAATTGACATGTGATATCTGATATTTACGAATATTAATGTAATACAAAATCATTCATATATGTCGATGATTATATGATGATGATGATTCCTGAAACATCCAATCGCCAACGCGAATTGATCATCACTGTACTTTAATATATACAAATGTGTTTTCTTCTTTTCATCAATTCATTCTATTCACACGGATATCTAAATTTAGCATCAATCAATATGGCATCGATAATCAAATTTCTAATGTTTTCTGTTTTGTTTTGTTTTGTTTTTTTTTATTTGTTTGATTTTAGGTCAGACTTGATCGTGTACTTGGCTTGACCGTTTCAAATAATGCTTCGTTGGACTGTGATCTCTATTCTGGAACTGTTGTGTATACATCTGGGTAAGTGAATGATTTTATTTATTCATTGCTTTTAAATAATAATTTTTTTTTTAATATCTAGATGTGTATTAGTACTATATAATCAACGTAAAAATAAACAATTTCATATAATAAATTCGTTGAAAAAACCAATCACATGTTGTAAATTTTCCAAAGATGGCAAATATATTGTCACTGGTGAGGTAAGTTGTAGTTTTTTTTATCGATATTCCGAAATGTCTGGTGTTATAATTAACAAAACAATTTTATATATATAGTGTGGACATCAGCCACAATGTCGAATTTGGGAAGTATCTACTGGTGAACAAGTTGCATGCTTATCCGGTCACAAATATGGTATCAATTGTGTGGTATGTATCAATTATATATTTCAATCTTTTCACATACACAGACACAACCATAATAATCATTATATATATGAATATGAATTTGTGTTTATATTTACATATGCAAAATAAGGTTATTCTTTTAATATTTTCCAGATCAGATCATCAGATTGTCAGTCGTCAATTTTTTTTTCTTTTATTACATTTCTTATTCCAATAAAAGAAAAGATTGAGAACATTGAATTGAATTGAATTTGTTGAATGTGCCATCATTCTCATTCAAATTTTCAATTACAGATTATTTTTGTTCCATCATCTTATTTTATTGGGTTAGAAATTATCATTATATTGCTATTATTATTATCATCAACTCTATCATGATGATGATGATGATAATCATCTTGAAATGGGCAGAAAAAAAGGACAGTCTCACAAACATAACACATTGGACTGGTTTTATTTCTCATTCTATTATCATTATTATTATTGTTGTTGTTTTTATCACACATACACAACCAAGGTGGTCAGTCAAAACTTTCGACCCGTAAAAATTTCGATACCTGTTATATTATGTGTTGTTTCTGTGTGTTTGTGTGTGTGTGTATACAATCGAATCATCAGCCTATGATGGCTTCCAATCATCATCAAACTATGGCTGTCAAAATCTAAAAAAAAAGTTTGATCATCAAAAATGACGGTTAATTATCATTCAACCGATTCGACCATCATGGTTGTCATTTTTCTTTGCCAGTTTTTTCATTTTCGTATATTTTTTTTTAGAACCTAGATCATGGATCCAATCAAAATTGGAATAAAAATGAAATGTTCAACTAATCATTCATTCAATAACAACAACAACTACAATTGATATAGGTGAATAAATCGATTAAATGTTTATGTAATTCATTATTTGAATGCGTCACCTATAAATATTTCAAAAAAAAAATTGTATCAATCAACTATTGATACGATAGAATGTGAACTGATTTATTCGTACTTTTTTTTTGCTATTCATTTATACACACACTATTTGTATTCGATTTGTTCACATTATGTTTTTATTTTTGTTTTTTTTTTTTTGTTTGATGGTCTGATTGACTGAATTTGATTTAAATCATATGCACACACACACACAGAGACACCAAAAAAGTTCATTCATCATTTGATTAAAATCTAATCTGATCTGATCTGTTTTGAATTTATTCATTGAAATTCAAATTAGACATTTATAGTCGATCAATCTTATTGATAATGATGATGATGATGATTCGTGCGTTTATTCATAGATGATGTGAATATTTTATATATTTATATTCGAATTAAGATTTATATACTTTGTTACTTTATGTATGTGTATGTATGTATGTTTGATAAAAAGAACAAAAAAATCGATAAGATAAGATTAGATACACGATTAAGAAACACATTTGATAATCAAACATATCCGCTGCGTGCAGTCTCATTTCAATCAGATAAAATCAATCGTAATATGTTTATAAAAACAATCGTGACATGACAAAAACAAAAAGATAAAGATTCTTCTTTCTTGTTTTTTTAACATGTTGAAAAAGGGTTATTTTTTGTTGATGATGATGATGGAAATAGATTGTAAAGATACTAAAGATGTTCACGATTTGAAATTTAAATATCTGAAGCTGAAAATCATTCGAATAAACAACAACAACAGCAACAACAAATAACATTAATCAATTTCAAATCACCATTTTGATGAAAACATAAAAGATTTTTATTAATAATCAAAATGTTGAAATGTTCAGGTGATTATGGTTCATGCATTGACATTCTTCTCCTGCTAGGCGCCTATACTAGACACAACAAATACAACCAACTGGTTGATCATTTTATTGTTTCCATCATTTTTTCTATCAAATTCACTGTTGTTGTTGTTGTATTTGTTTTTTTTATGTGTAAAAAAATGCACAAAGAAATTCCCTACATGTAGATTGGATTCATTCATTTTGTTCATAGTTTGGTTCTAAAAAAAAATTTGATGACCGACGATTGGATTCAGCATTTTTTTTCCCAATATTATTATTTATGACAAAGAAAGATTGAAATTGTTGTTGTTGTTGATTTTTTATGATGTTTGATCACTTTGATCATTACGATATATGAATTTTGAATGATGATAATAATAATAATAATAATGTCCTTGTGTAATTGATGGGGAAAGAAGAATTTTTTTTTCAAGTTTCATTTCTTCTTCTGCAATGATGTATGCATACATTCATTTATTTATTATTATTATTATTATTATATGATGTTTGCCTATTGTTGTTGTAGATTATGGTTTGAACTCTCCAATAAGGGTTGTTTTTTATCATCGAAATTTTTTTTTTATATTTGTTGAATGTGCGACCAAACAACAACAAGTGAATGTTCCATTTATTTTTTTTCATATTGCTTATTCTAATCATCAATTGTTCATCGGTCAAATTTTTTTTTGTCTACATCCTTTTCGTAGAGACCCATATATATCTTATTATTATTTTTGTTGTTGTTGATTACATAGGGACACATACATACAACCCGTTGCTTATGGTTGAGGTTTATGTTCATCACATCAAATATTTACTTTCATCATCATCATCATCATCTGTGACTGAATGGAATTTTTTTTTCTTCTTCTTTCCATAGATGAATCATTCAACAACAATCACTGCTGCCTGGCCAATATGATGATGATGATGTGATTGAATAGTATACTTTTGTGTTCTGGTTTATGATCCAATGTTTAGTCTAGTTTTTATTTCTCATTCATTCATCTTAATAGCTTTTCTATAGGGCAAAAGACACACATACACACTAAACACATTTTATTCGCCGCAACAATCACATATATATTCACCAAAAAGGATGTCAGATTTATTTGTACATTTTTTTTCTATTTTAAGATTTTTTTTTAAATAGTTCACCTATAACAATCCAGCATACCAGCCGACATTCATCCCAAAATGATCATAGAGAAAATTGGTATTGTTTGTGTGTGAATTGTCACCGGTCTATCGATCAATTGATTGATTGATTGATTTAAAATTGATGCTATATTAGAATAAAAAATATCAATCGTTGAATTGTGTGAATTTTTTTTTCTCGATCAATTTAATTTTTTTTTATCCATGAATGTGATTGATATATTGATAATATACCATGTTTTTGATTCAATTCAAAGAAACAAAATTCAATTTGTTCTTTTTATTAATCCAATATTATCATTGATGGATGATATACAACATTACAGTGATCAGTGTGTGACAGGCATACGTTTTAATTATCAACAATAATTATATGGCGATTCATTCACAAAATTTTTCACTATATTAGTTCATTATCACATTAAATAAAGAGTTTTTTCGCATTGAGATTAAATCACATAAAAATATTAATGATGATGGTTGTAGTCCACTTTTTTACGTTTTAATTATCAACAATAATTATATGGCGATTCATTCACAAAATTTTTCACTATATTAGTTCATTATCACATTAAATAAAGAGTTTTTTCGCATTGAGAAAAAATGTCGTAATTTTTTTTGCGTTGGCGTATAAAACGATCATACGAATAACTAAAAAACTAAACTACGAAGAAAATAAAGAAGTTTGTACTTTGACATCTTTTCTTATTGTCACCTTTTTTTTGAATAATTAATATCATTTACACACATGATGAAATAATAATCAACAATAAATTAGACTGGCAAATTTGAAAAAAATTCACATCAACTTCATTATCAGCATTGTTTTGATGACATTATCTCATTTTAATTATATATTTGATACTTTTTTTTTGCAAATATAGGCCTTTTCACCTGATGGAAAATATGTAGTTTCAATTGGATCACAACATGATATGATGGTCAATGTTTGGGATTGGAAAACGAATCATGTTGTCGCGTCGAATAAAGTATCGGTTAAGGTTAAATCGATTTCATTTTCGGATAATGGAAATTATTTTGTTACCGTTGGTAATCGACATGTAAAATTTTGGTACCTTGAATATAATGACATTGCCAATAAAAATAAATTCGAATCATTACCGTTGATGGGAAGAAATGCTATTCTTGGTGATCAACGGAATAATTATTTCTGTGATGTGGCCTGTAGCCGCGGTGATTCTAATTCTAATCTAGAATCAACATATGCCATAACCAAATCTGGTCTTCTTTGTGAATTCAACAATCGTCGTTTGTTGAATAAATGGGTCGAGCTTAAGGTAATTTGTATCCGGATATAATTTGATGATTTTAATCAATTTAATTTTACATTTTAAAGACTGAATCTGCCAATTGTTTAACAATAAGTCATAATTATATTTGTGTTGGCTGTGCTCAAGGTGTGATAAGATGTTTTCGGCCACGAACATTGGAATTTGTCTGTTCATTACCACGGCCACATCAACTTGGTATCGACATAGCTAAAGGTTTCACATCTCGTAATGAAATGAATTCGATTGCCAAAATGTCAATGATGAAACCGAAATATTCCGATACGATTGCAGTCGTTTATGATGATTATAATAAAGTTGTTACAGCTGTTTATTCAGATCGTAGTATATATTTTTGGTCATTGAATGATATCAAAAGAATTGGAAAATTGAATTCCTTTTTATATCATTCCAGTTGTATATGGGATATTGATGTAAGTTGAATTATTTCTTGTTGAGTTTTTAAGAAAAATTTTTTTTTCTATTCATCTATTAGGTATATCCTTACAATTCAAAAAGTTCTCGCCATCTATTACCACCGGGAACATTTCTTACCTGTTCGAGTGATGATACTATTCGTATATGGAATACCGAAATGGATATGAATTCTTCGAAAGCATCCAATTATATTTATAAGAAAAATTTTTTTAGTCCAGAATTAATGAAAATACTTTACATGGATCCTGATTTAAATTATTTATGCGATCAGGATTTGGTTCAAACAAAATCCAATTCAAATGGAAATGGCTCTATGCAAAGTTCAGATCAATATGATAGTAAAAATGGAATTCGAGCAATCAAATTTTCTACCGATGGAAAACATTTAGCCTCAGGTTCTATTCTTGATTTTTATAATTCATTTCAAATGATTAATGCTGTTTTTATTTTAGGTGATCGTTGCGGAAATATTCGTATTTTTGATTTGGAAATGCAAAAAGATTTGTTCAAAATTGAAGCTCATGATGGTGAAGTCCTGTGTTTAGAGTATTCAAATGAAGAAGCTTGTGGAAGATCTTTGCTTGTGTCAGCTAGTCGTGATCGATTCATACATATTTATGATGTTCATCGTCAATACTCTTGCATACAAAACATTGATGATCATTCATCATCGATTACCTCAGTAAAATTTGTTTGTAGTAAACCGAATCCGATGAATTTGAAGTTAATCAGTTGTGGTGCAGATAAATCATTAATTTTTCGGAAACAAACAGATCCTGAATCAGATTTTCGTCTAGAACATCATGTAGCCGGAAAATGTACTTTCTTTGATATGGCTGTTGATCAGAAAAAGAATCATATCATCACTGCATCTCAAGATCGATTAATTCGTACCTATGATGTATGGACAGGAAAGAATGTTAACAATTTCAAAGGATCATTGGGTGAAGATGGAGCATTGATCAAGATAGCCTTTGATCCAAGTATTACTTTCATTGCCACTTCATGTACTGATAAAAGTATCTATATATATGATTATCAAACGGGTGAATGTTTAGCGACAACAAGTGGACATTCAGAAATCGTAACAGGATTGAAATTCTCTTTAGATGGACGAAATTTAATTTCTGTTTCTGGTGATGGATGTATATTTATTTGGCGATTACCAGTCGAAATGACCAATGCAATTGCCTCCAAACTTGGTTTACCATTGATTTCGGATTCGTGCCATACAACTACAATCACAAATCGTTCACTTAATATTCCGATTCAGAACGAACTAATTGGCAACAATGGTACGGCTGATGTGCCATCCGTTTATCATCGTTTTGATGTTTCAACATTACCCACATGGGTTCGAAAACAAATGTTTGAAGAGAATAGAGAAAAATATTCCAACAACAATTCTATGAATGTTGACAAAGAATTTTCCAAAACATTACCACGTGGACGTTGGGCTCATCGTTTCGTGGAAGAAGGACATGAAATGAATCCTGGTCTAGTCAAAGCTTATGCCAATAATTTTGAAACAATGGCATCCAGAAGTACACCTACAACGCCCTCTGGTATCAATTCACCTTCGATTAAAGATTCGATTAGACAAAATAATCGACTTAGTATGATTATTACTCGAGATCATCCACGTACAAAATCTTCATTGTCAAGCGGAGTTGAAGATGATGACGATGATCGTAACACTACCGATTCAGATAACACATATAGCCATGATTCTTCTTATAAAGTGAACAAAGTATCTAATGATCGTCCAAGATCGTGTAAAGTTTCGGATACTTATTCAATGGTATCATCTATATCGATGGCAAATATTAATGATGTTCCTTACGATGATGATGAAGGATCAACAATTGAAACAAGTAAAAATAAAGACGACAAAAATCGCTACAATTCATTGTATATGAGTACGGAAAATTTGGAACGAATTGATCAACGAAATCGTTATTTGAAAAACGTGTTTGAAAATATCGATAAAAGTAATATTGATAATAATAGCGCTTCTGATGATTCTGGAATCAATCAAATTGATCATAGTTTAAGTAGTAACAGTACATTAGTCAATCATCATCATCATCATCATTCAGTATCACCACCACAACCAAATGTTCGACAAAGCCTTTCATCAAGATCATCACTTAATAATAAAATAACTTCACCGCCGAATGGAAAAGATAATCATCATCATTATAATGAGACAACATCAGATGACGCCACATTGAGTGATATCACGGATATCAATCAAGATCCGTCATCATCTCCAGACGGTTTAACAACAACAACAACAATAACAACCAACAATGATTCGACGAAATTTTCTTTATTGGATACGATCAATGAAACTTCTATATCATCACCAACAATTACCAATGAGGAAGACGACAAAGACATAAGTAAAATGGATTCCAATACTAATACAATTATTACGCATATGGATTCAAAGACATCGACGACAACAACAACAACAACAACGTCCAAGACCAATAATATTTCATCAAGCGTAACGACAATTTTGGTCGATACCACCAGTAAAGACAATGTCAAATCAACACCAACGCAACAGCCATTTATGTCGAAAAAACGTGAAGAGTTGGCCAAAACATTGAGCGAAGCTAAAAAACGTCTTCAATCGGTAAGTTTATTGTTTGGCTATCTTTTTCTCTCACCATCTCACACACATACACATACTAAATCATATTTCAAATACATTACTTTATGTCGATATGATCATATATTATATAAACATGAATAATAGCCTAATAGCGGGAATAGAAAATTTTCATTTTGGATTTACTATTGTCCATTGGCTAGTTTGTTTTTTCTTTGGTGGATCCAAAAATATACCAAAAAATAATCTTATGTCAAGCTTCATGTATTCTCATTTATGATGATGTTGATGATGATGATTTTATCGTGTGTATGATTACAAAGCAACATAAATGTTATAAATGATAATGATGAAATGTAAGAGAGAAAAAGAAAAAAACAATGACAATTGGACATTCATGATGATTTAAAGTGGACAACTCTCTCTCTCTCTCTCTCAACAACCTGTGTAACACCTTATTGTTATCATGTTGAATATAAGTTCCAATGGAATTTTTTTTTTGTTGTTATTCTTTAGTAATATATAAATTTAATGTTGTCCAAATACACATTGTGATTTGCTTTTTCGACCTTTTTCTTTTCTCCCTATTCACACACACAATAAAGAGTTTAGTTTAGAAAAAGAGTCTACCATTTTATCAAGGCAAAAAAACAAGTTATTATTCTTATTGAGTTTTTTTCTTCTTAATGGACATCTCTTTCTTTTTTTTCGATATAATGACTCCCACCATTGAATATCTTTCATCTGCTAGTAGCAACAGATAGCAACAGACAAATACAATGCAACAATTTCATTGCAATCCCATAGCCTTCCTCAGGTAGAATGAAATGAAGAAATGTTAAAAAAAAAAATTATTGAAAGAGAAAAAGAGAAACATAGTTGTGAGATTCGGGCGCCAATGCTATGGCGAACTACTAATAATGTTGTTGATGATGATCATCATCATCATTATCATGACTCTATGAGCAAACTAAACAAAACGAGTATCGAAACTCTTGTTATGTTTGTTGTGTATATGTGCGTGTTTCAAAGTGCATCAAACTACGCGGCAAATATTTGGATCGTTTCGATTCGTTGTCGTCGTCGTCGTCGTCAAATGTCTGTTGTTTTGTTTTAACTCATCATATAGTCATTTCATTTCATGTAGTAACGATACGATAAAAACTTGAAAGTTTATTTATTGACATTATACGAATCAAATGATATATATATATCGTCTGTATGTTGGTGTGTATGTGCATATTTTTAATATATATCAATCATAAAATGCTTAATTTTTATGATGATCATCATCATTGATAGCTTCATAGATCATCAAATTCACGACACATTTCTATTATATATTTAATATCGAATTCCGTGATTTAATCCATCCATGTTTGAAAGTTAATCATTCATTCATTAATTATACTCATAATTTCACTGTTCATCGATCAATTTTGTGTGTGTGTGTGTGTGTAGATTTAATTCATGAACATCCAAATCTTTTTGTTCATCATCATTGTATATATTAAATGTATTTTGATGATCATGATGATCATCACACCAGCAAAGAAAAAAAACTGTTGATCAGTTGAAATCTGATTGTTTTTTTTTGTGTATGTTCATTATATTTTTTTCTGCTATCTCAAAAAAATTTTTAATTAATCATTTGTTGAACAATCCATTTGGGTTGGTATTTTTAGGTTGGTTCAACACCATCATTGACCAATTCTAGATCGGTGGCCAATCTTCGTGCATTAACATTGTTTTCAACACCAGATGATGAAAATTCCATTGTTCGACATAGAAATCGTGGAGGTGATCTAACTAGTGGCGATGATGATGACGAAAATTCCTATCATAGTTTATGTAAGTAATTTTTTCATTATGAAAATAACCATGTATATATGTTTTCCGTGTTAACCATAATAATCGATTTCAATCAATTTTTTTTCTTTCATATTCATATTCATTCAATTTTGTTTCCATCAATATGATGACCATTATTCAAATCAAATCATATCAATCATCATCATCATCAATATAGCTGTCGATGCATTCCGTAAATCAATTTCATTGAGTGATCTATCACGTTCATCCTGTACATTACCACGAAAATTGAGCATATATCGAGCCAATAATAATTCAGCTACTGCAACATCAATGAATAATTGTAAGTACACAAATGTTTCTTTCAGATGGACAGGATATTATTGTTTTTTTTTCATAATCATTTTTCATGTTGTTGAAACATTGTTCATTTCATTATGCAAACATTTTGATTTTCGATTGAATTAACTTTGACTAATCATCATCATCATCATCATCATGGTGAATTTCATTGTATTGCACTATCATAATGACACGGTTATCATAACAAATTTATTCAATGGATTTATGTATGTGTACGCGTATTATATGATTTGATTATACTACAAAAAAAACACACATACATAATTATCGGTCCATTCAGGTATATATTGCACACCTATACATTGTACATATTGCACATGTACCATTTTCAAAACGTTCCAAATTGACTATGGATTGTACTTTTCTTTTGGCCAACTTTGTACAATCGTTCATTTCATTTTAGTTTCAATCAAAATTTTATGTTAGGATAATAACAGAACAACAACAACAACAGAAAAAAATAGAAAAACGAATTTTTTCACAAATAAAACAATCATGATCATAGGTATTTGATTTTATTTTCGTTTGTTTCTCCCCCATCACCATTACCACCACCACTTTTTTTTCGGGCAAATTATTATTGTCTTAACTTTTTTTTCCCATTCCAGATGTATTTAGCTCATAGTTTTTTTTAGGTTCAAAATTATCATTGTTGTTGTAGGTGAATTTTTTTTTCTTCGTTACAAAAAATCAAAGAAAGTATATAAATCTTTATTTGTAGATTTTAAAAATATTGATCTACAGAGTTGCACCTTGTTTTTATTTTAACTTTTGTTTTGTTTCCAGGTTAGAATTTCATATATTATTTTTTACTTTCGCTGAAAGGAGATAATTATAATATATCTGTGTGTGTGAGTGTGTGTGTGTGTGTGTTTGTGTCATCATATACTTGAATACCATATCAATACATAAATTTGATCTCTGCAGGAAGCATCATCATCATCATTGTATTCAATTCATAAAAATGAATAAAGTATATTTCATTTCATTTTATTTTTTCTGGCCAAGTTGCTGACGGAACCATCATCATCATAATATATATGCGATTTTCTCCTTTTCAATCATTTGATTGTGATATCCATGATGATGATGAGATGTGTTGATTATGATAAAGTGATCGTGATTTGGTCAAGATTTTTGGAATTTTTTTTGTTTTGTTTTGTTTTGCTTTGTTTTCCAGATGGTAAGCGGACTTGTTTTTTTATTTGCTGCTATATTATATCTTTTTTTTTGTTGAAAATGATAGCCATAATCATCATTGTGTATTATTATTACTGTTATTGCTGCTGTCAATTTGGCCAAAGAGTACAACGAAAAAGAAAAAGAGATAATGATAATAAAATAGAGTAGACTTTGATGTCCAAGTGTGAATCTGATGATGATGGTGAAAATCAGTCATAAGTGTTCATATTCAATCAAATCGATGGTCAACACTAGTTCATCATAACTACGAATGTCTGATATTTTGAATATTTATTTGGTGTTTTTTTCACTGATCCCTTTTTGTTGCTGTTTGGTTAATGGTGATTATCGATCGTTAATTTTTTTTTTACTTGAATAAATATAAACATTGAACGACAATTTGGATTCATTATCATCATCATCGTCTGAAAGGATCGACAAGCAAATTAGCCATCTCCAACATCAACAACGACAACAACAACAACTTGTTCACAATCTTTATTTGTACCATTTTTGTTTTGATAATCATAGACATTTACATTTCGAGATATTTTTTTTTGATTTATTTTTACAATCGAGTAACGATTGATTTTTATTTATTTTATTTTTTGTTTTTGATTTAATTATTAGTTATTCCCAATGTTTCCAATGTATATAATAAGTAGTCATGATTTTCTAATTTTGATTGACATCTGTCCAATCCGCTTCGTCTGTATTTATCATCATCATCATTCAGTTGCTTGTCCGCTATCTTTTAATCTAGATTTGATGAAAAATTTTTTTGTTTTAAATTTCCAAAATTAAATTTTCAATCCTAATATAAAATTAGCATCAATGTTTGTTTTTTTCCACTCGAAATCTACGAATTAGGTCATTTATTTTTTTTTTTTGAATTGGCTCTGACCAGATAATAGAATATTCTCACGCCAACCGATGAACAAAATTTCGTTTGTTTTGAATTTTATTTTATTTTTTTTCAGGCCATCGATCATTATCATCATTGACGTAAAGATTTTTTTTTAAAAATCCATTCAATATTTTATATACATTGTTGTTCATCAAGTGTGTGCGTTTTTTTGGATTGTGTTTATATTTATATTTACGAGCAACAGGTTTTCGGAACCATGTTCTTTTGTTCTTGATGTTGTTGTTTTTTTTTGTCAATAGAAAATGAATGAAACCTACCTATTTTTCGCCTCTAAAACCCGAATGACAAACTTTCCTATCAATGAACTTGTTTTTTTTTTTCATGTATTCAATTTGTTCAACAAATGAAAAATTCACTACCAAAAATGGATCGTTTGAATAGAGTTATCAAAAAAAAGTGTGCATGTGTCTGTGTGTGTAGGTATGTGTTTGTGGTCGGATGTGTGTATTATTACAATAATTTTTTAATCCATCCTCACACATTGTTTGTTTGTTTGTTGTTGATGTTTTTACATCTTTTCTTATTTGTTCCGTTAAATGTTCAATTTTTCGCTTTAAAATGTTTGTTAATACTTGAATCTTAATGCTGTCACTAATTTATTGATTAGGTCAAGTTTCTCTTGCATTTGATCACACATCTCCATAATTTACTTGTGATGCTATAATTAATTCTTTCATCAATCTCTCCATTCATCGTGTCCAAATTATCTTACCAATCTTGTTAATTTATTTATGTGTGTGTGTGTGTGTGTATGTATTCATTTTTGTTTACCGGCCACTTTTTGCGGTTTTCAAAAAAAAAAAATTTTCATATGTGAAAATTTTAATATCCTTAACTGTGCTGTTACAGATTTTTATTTTCTTTATCTGTATTCAAAATATCCATAAGATTTATTTCATGTGAAACTGGTTGAAAATTTTATTTTTATTTTATATCTCTCTGCACAGAGAAAATGATTTCATAACAGAAAAAAAAATTTAAATGTTCTATTTATAAACTCTAAATAATCTATATTTTTTCTTGTTATTTTTTTCACATCAGATCAATTTGCACCACTTTGGGATCAGAGACGTGTCGGTTCTACTGCCGGTACACCGCCAAATTCAGGTTCATTATCACGAACACCGAGTACGAATACATTGAATAAAGTTGACATGATGCGTTCACAATCTACACTTTGTCGTCAAGGTTTATGGAATGCTGTGAATCAATCACCGGCACCACCATCCACACCTTTATCGGTTGCTCATCCTGTGAATCCAGCTATTGCTCACCTAAAACCACCTATGTCGACAGTCTCACCTACAGGAATGATCATTAATCCACGTTCAGGGCGTAGTTCGGCACCACCTTCTCAATTTCGAAAATCTGCTGCCACAATATCCTGTGCCAGTTCCTCTCGACGTGGTGATAGTACTGAAGATGATGAAGAAATAGATGGTTCAGCCATCAATTCAGATGATGATAATTCTGATGAACATAGAGCAATACGGCCACGACCTGTTACACCACCGAAACCAAATATTCTTAAACAAATACGTCGAAGTTCCAATTCTAATGGCGGTCCAATGATGAGCACTGTGAATGTTTCGATGAATCCTTATCAAAATCATCATTATGTTCAAAATCCACATCAGCCTATCACACAGTCTGCTCGTCCTCGTCGGCTATGGTCAGCGGATACGATGAGATCATCTAAAAGTGAATTCAATCTTGCAAGTATTGGTCGTGATACTCCGGTAAGACGAAGAAATAACAGTGGAGTATCAGCTGGTGGGCAAATGTGGCCTCAAAATCCAGCATTAGTCGTGAATGATAGGTTTGATCTATATATGACAAATCCATCATCCATTCCTTGTATGTATAATAAATTGATAAAATCTTCAAAGTTAATTAAATTTATTTTATTTTTATTTTCATATAATTAGTGTCACTCGATTTATGTCAACATTTGGTCAATGAAATGAACTTTTTGACCAATTATGCTTCACGAATACATGAAAGAGCTTCATATTCGGAAAACACTGCCATTGTTGATTATCTGAAAGAAACACTTGGTCAAGTCAGTCGAGATATACAAGCAATAGTTGGACTTTCACCCAACAAACCAACCATCCCTAACAAGCCAGATATTGTTATTAATAATAATGATAACGGTGGACTAAAACAGACTAATGGGAACCATGATAAAAATAATTCATTAACCACCGCTGCAAGCCACAGCCAAAATAATCATATACCTGATCCTCAAACACAGGAAATGTTTCAACAATTTATGGCATTCTTAAAGATGACAAAAGGTGGTTCATCAACACCTTCTACTACAACAATCAATGGTCAATGCCAAAACACACAGCAACAGTCAACATCCAATATAGTCAACAATAATAATGTTAATCATAATAATAATGTGAATAGTGATTGAAAATGACCAAAAAGAATGATTCATGAAATGTCCATTACATACAACACATAGCAGCAGCTATAATTACCTTTTTTTCTATACTAACAAATTAATTATTTTATACTAAATTAATTCTTTTTGATTTAAATCATTTAATGATACGCCTGCATACAAAAATAATGGTAGGAAATTTCCAACAACATCCAACGATGAATTTCTTGATTTCGCCTACGTTTTCAATCATTACACAAACAATTTGAATTACCCTTTTTTTTCTAACATCGCCATTTTATATTCAATGTCATTCAATCATTAACATTAACATTGCCTTTTTTTCTCTTATATTTATTCCCCCATTTTTTTCACAATTAATGATTAAATTCATGACTAACTTAATAATAGCAGTCTGTGATGATGATTGAAATATAATTGAATAATTCCAAAATTCATCATCAATCAAATATTGATAACCAAAATGGATCTTATACACACACACACATTCATTTTTTTATAAAAAAAATTTCTTAAACCAATTGATGAATTCATTTCGTATTTGTACAGACTAAAATTTGACATTTGTTGTTTCTATATAATCTTACACACATATACATTGTTTGTTTTTATTTTTTTAAATCAAATAAATAAATCTAGCCGATTTTTTTTATAAATTAATTTTTCTTGACATTTATGATATCGTAAAAAAAATTTAATTCCATTGAATCCAGATAGATGGCGATGATGAGCAGAAACCAATTAAATTATCACCTTTGGCAATTTTTGATTACGAAAATGAAACGAAATTGGTTTCTTATCAAATTATACCATGTCTATTGAATCGATAATGATGAATCATCATGTTCATAATGAATTTGTCATTCAATCATTTTGCTATTATTAAATCTAACCATTATCGATACTGTATCAGGTACGACATACCTAGAATTTTAACCCATGCAATGTGGGCAAATGTGTGCGTGTGTTTGATTATTTCCATATGGTCATACATACCCGCACACAGCCTATTTTATAATGATTTCGTTATTGGTGGTGGTGGTGTGGTCCGTGCTCATGCTCGTCATCAAAATTCAATGCTGTCTGTGTTGTTTTCGTTTTTTTTTCTGTGATTCTTTTGGTTGCTGGATTTGTTCCAATTCCAAATCATCCATGGCTATAGACGCGCCTTGTTTTCAGTGTATCTGTTGTTGATTTCAATTTCATTATCCAGAATGTTTTTTCTTTTCATTATATAGAATGCGGCATCAAGAGTTTTTTTCTCTGTTTAGGTCTGTATTTATTTGTGTATAAGAATCTCAAATTGATCGGATCCGGATATCTATTTGTTCGTGTGTTGTATGTGTGTGTGTCTATATTGTTGTTATTGTTGCGTGTTTTTTTTCCTTATTGAATTTAGCTTGAATCGATCATTTCATTACAATTTCAAATGTTACATTTATTATAATACCAACCAATTGTAGATTTTGTTTGTATTGTCTGTTGAAATCGATCTATAGATTCTATATGTTTTCAAGTTTTCGTCATTGTTTCAAAGATATTTTTTGTTGTTGTTGTTGTTTACAATAATAATAGCCGATGGACAATGGATATATTTTTTTTTAAAATGATCAACAAACATTAATAGTAGCAGCCATTTATAAATGTTTAACGCTATAGCTAACTATTAAATCCAAACTAATCTGAACGCTGACGATTCTATGATGATGACCACAATTAATACAGAAAAAAAATCTACGCACTAACCATTAAAACTTGAAATTTTCGGCTACTCCGCCTGTTCATTTTTTTCTTTTTTTTTTCTTTCTGGTTGACTTGCTGAATGTCTGACTGGTTGGCTTTTTTTTTTTTTTTTGCTTTTCGACAATTGTGTTTCGGCGTCATTTTTATGATTCGAATTCAATTTGTATGACTCATTGTTTGTGTATGTGTGTGTGTGTCTCTACTGGTCTCGTCCGTCTACTAATATTGTCGTGAATTAATATTTAACATTTTTTTCTGTTTTACTTCATCTATTTTAACATTTTTTTCTTCTAAAAATACAATTTTCATCATTTCAATGATATGATTTAGAAATTCAAATACTTTTTGCTATTGATTATTAACAAAATTATTTTCTATATATGTGATATTCAATATTTGGCAAAACGAAACAAAACAAAATCGAACGTCATCATAAAAGTTTTATTCTCTCTCTCTCTTTTTTTGTTTTTTCTCCAATCATTTTCGATCTGATTTCAAATAAAGTCATCACATCGTTTATAATAGATCATCATCACAAGTAAACAGGTTTGACAAAATAAAAAAAAAATTTCTTTTATTGCCATTTGTTGTTTTCATATTCATGACATTGTTTTTTTCCTTTGGTTAGTGCTTTGTTTCTAATACTCATATCCAATCGGTTTTTGGTTGACATTGTTTAATATCAAGTCAAGTCATCACAATCAATCATCAAAAGAACCATAAAACAAACAATCTAAATAATCGTGTGATTAAACTTTGAAAATTTGTCCTATTCAACTAACCATATTGCATCAAAAATAAGAGTAAACAACAAAACTTATTTGTGTATGCTAAGTGAAAGAAAACAAATCAATCAACCTATCAATCTTGATTTAGTTCATCTTGTCATTCACATAATCTTGATTGGTGCTTTTTTTTATTGTTTCTTTACGTTTAATTATTACCATTCGTATTTTTTCACAAATAATCAACGACTTAAAAAAAATTTAGCTGATTTTTGCATACAGAATAAAAATAACCAGGTATTTTTTTTTTTTTATTTTACATATAATTAGCCTAAAATTATCTTTCATCAAACATAGGTAGATATCAACAATGGAAAATAGCCCATCTGATAATGACAAACTCATTGACGTTCCAACATTCATCGACTCAACCAATTCGGCCGTTGATCAATCTCGAATTCCGTCAAATTTTTATGAATTGGATTCAAATTTCTCCATCATGAATGTTGACAACAACAAAGGCGAAGGTGATGAGAACAAAAAGGTGATTCTTGAAAATATTGGCGAAGTTGAAGAAAATTCCAATATTTCTATATTGGACAATCTTAAAGAATCGAAACTTGATCCAGATCCAAATAATCCAGACGATTATATCATTAAACCTGAAAAACATATAGATCATTTTGTTGATCTGGAATACAAACCTGATCCATTTCCTGTAATTGATTCTCCATCAGTAAAACCAAATTCTGCAATTGATATACAGCCAATAAATCCTAATGTCCGTCATGATTCACCTGAAAAGCTAAAGACTGTGTTGACAATATCGATTGTCAATCGTCTGCAAAATATTCGGATTCCTTTGATATTCCAGATAACATAACAAACATCCTCGATGAAAAGTTTGATCTTCTAGAAATCACCTATAGCGATTATTCACGAGAATCCGATGCTTTGGATTCATCTTTGAACACAAATGACTTCAAAAGTGATCAACCGGTAAAAATCCCCGTGAAAGAAGACGAATTAGTCAAAAATGAATCTCTAATTGGTGAAAAGATTGCAGATGATGAAATGAAAATGAATTCACAAGCTAATGATGGATCTACTGTATTTGTCGATAATTCGAATGATTCGGTTGTATCTTCAAGTACTGATGCTCAAATGAACATCACTAAATCAGAACAAACATTGCAAGAACCGTTGAATGATTCTTCACCAATGTCATCGATAAAAAAAACCACTGTAGAAGACGATGTTACCGATAGATTAAGTGAACAATTTCCTGATTTTGCCTCTAAAGAAATGAAACCAATTGTTGAACCGCATCATGAAGAGCCTTTAATCGTGGAACAGACTACTGCATTTACCCATATTGAACCAATTCCAATTTCAGCTGTTCTTCCAACACAAAATATCGATCAAACCATTGATGAAAATCCGGTGAAATTATCGTCATTTAAAGAGGAAGAAAATTCACATCCAAATTTGAAACCAGAACATGCAGAAATTGTTGATATACCACAAGATTCAAAACCTGAGTACGTCGAACCTTTGATTGTGAAACCGGTGGAGGAAAAACTTGTCGAAAAAATGGATCAAGCTCTATCGCCATCAGAGAAGACAGATTTGTTTTCAGAGAAATCTCCCACGATTACGTCGAACGTATTGCAATCTGACCAAAACCCGATTGGACCTGAAGCAACTTTAGTGCCGGAAAATAATTTATTTTCATCCAACAATTCAGATAATGTTGAACGGAAAGAGTCTTTTGAAATAGAAAAACAAGAAAAGCTTCAAACTTCCAGCTCATCATCATTTCAAATGGATAACTTGAGGTTTGATGATGCTATAAAATCTGCTGCTAACATGGCTACAGGTGTTGTTGAAAAACCTGATAATTTAATGTCCGATGCTTCTACCTTTTCACCAATGATGATAAACGAGCCAGATCGCCATTCAAATGAAGCATTTGTTGATTATGATAAAGTTGCTACATCGGCCGCTGCAGCAGCATTTGTAGAAGAGGCAATAGCAACAGCAAAAACAGTCAGTTCAGGCATGATTTCTGATTTTATGCCCACGTCAGCTTCAATAATCTTATCTCCTTCCGTGGACATCATCGACACCAATGTTTGTGAGAAGGTAGAAGGCAATATTGAAGATAGTTGTAAAAAACCAATACAAGTATCAACTACCAGTGAAAAACTATCGTCTGCGATTAAAAACGACCAAATAGATGATTTTGTAGAAGAAAAAGAAGAACCAGTCAAGTTAGATCCTTTTCCTATTGTACAACAACAACAACAACAAAAAAGACGAAAATTTCTACGAATCATCAAACGAACAACAACAACAACCATCTTTGCCTTTGTTGTCGTCATCAATCTCTTCGACAAAAAGTGATCATCATAAAAATTCTGAACAACAAGAAACAGATTCGGTTGACATATTTCAAGAATCATCATCTACGGTATTGGTGCCTGAACAAAAATCATCGAAAGAAGAAAAACAACAACAGCAACAAAATCCAATTGAAAACGAACAAAAAATAATGGGCAGAAAAAATTATCGTCAATATTCCTCGGATAATTCGGCTGCTGCTAATAATTTGGAGCCAGGTTTGTTCAATTTTCATTCATGCATGTTCTTTTTTTTGTATTTTCTCAATTAATATTGAAAAAAATCTTAATTATTGGTTCAAAATTTATTAACATTATTTTTTTTGTATTTCATTTTTATAACTGGAAAAAAAATCTAACGAACCATATCAATGCACCTGGTTTTTACAAATTGGCCACGATTTTTTTACGAATCATGATCATGATGATGATGATCATTACTCGACCGCCATGCCTTTGAATACGAACACGTGGCTACATACATTCGAAACAAAACTTTGTTACACACACACACACACACGCATGCAAATCCGTTGTACGTGTACAATTTATGTGCATGCCAATTATCAATTCTCAAAATGTCTGGCCGCTTCGATTGATTGATTGATTATTTATAGATTGCGTTCAAAATTTTATTCACTCATTATTTGGACAATGCGGTAAGTGAATATATTATATTATTGATTTTTTTTAACTCTGTATAATTCCAACAATTGATTCAATGAATTTTTTTTACAGTTAAAGAAACTGTATCTATTCTAATTTAATTGGAATTTTCTTTTTCTATTTCATTTTGATATGACGAGATATTTTGTTGCACCGGGCTCTTTTTCATCATCATCTTTTTTTTAAATGATTGCTCTGTTTTAATGATGATGATGATGACAAAGCAACAGCTTCAGCAAAGATTGTATTTTACCCCGTCTCAATATAAAAGTGTCTATAAATACAGTGTTGGTTTATAACCTATTTCTTCTTTAGTATATATATAAAAAAAATTACTTTCTTTTTCGCTAAATTTATGATGATCTCAAAGCGCCGACTCCTTTTTTTCGGTTTTAAGTTAACTGTATGTATTACAGACACACGGGATCATACAATTCATTGTGGTTTGCGAATTTTTTTTTCTCATTCCTTTCAATTTGGATTCTATATTTTGCTCCATGCTTTTCTGATGATTCTCATTTCTCATTCGAGATAGAATTGCTGTTGTTGTGATCTCATAGAAACAACTGCTTAACATTGGCTGTTTATAATTACAGTTAATCTATTGTATATGTTTTGATGAGAATAATTGAAATTCTCTATTCAGAATTGTTCTTTTTGTATGTTTTTTTTTAAATTTAATTACATCGAATATATATCTTAGGTCATTGGTTGACCTCTCTTTTGTTGTGTGCATATGATTGTTTTGTATTTTGTTCGTTCTGTTTTTCATCTTTTTCTCTTATTACCGGTGCCTTTTTATCCAACACTATTTCAATAATAATAATTGATTTATCTAATCAATCTTAAAATTCATTGACTCTTTTACATAAAAAAAGAAACAATGTCACCGACAACAATGATTGAATGTAAGTTTGATAATAATGACAAATATTTTTATCATTGAATTTTGTTATCAATTTCAATTTTCTATATAAATCAATGTCGTTTGTTGCGTTAGTTTGTTCCAATTTTTTTTCTCATTGCCACTTTTCTACTAGACATATAATATCCTTGATCACTTAGCCTTAGTTATTTGACAAAAATTTTTTGTTTTTCTTTCTCATTTCCGTTCCATTTATCATGTCTTTATGTTATTATGTAAAAAAATTTAGTTGAATATTTTTTGTTTTTGGTTTGGTGAGTTATTTTTTTTTTTTTTTGGCAATCGTACAGCAATGAAAAATTCCTTTCTCTATGTCTTGAATCCATTCATTTCCATAGTCTATTTTTATATATATAGATTATAGAATAAAAACGTTTCACAAATATATGTCGATTCTGTTTTTTTTGTTCATTTATTTTTGAATATTATCATTTCTATCGATAGATGTCAGTATTATCAAAGTCTGTTGGGATTTAAATCACCAAAAAAACTTCTGGTTGTGATAAACAGTTATGTCTTGAATTTTTTTTTCTGGTTAATTCTTCATCATGGTGATTGAGCAAATTTTCAATCAGTTTTTGTTTGTTTGAATTGAATAGTGCAACAAATAGATCACACGATAAATGATGTGTCATTCAATATCATCATAGAATAAAAATCGATTTCTATACCATGCTAGCCAAGTAATTTAATTGGTAGACTGAATCATTGATACTATTCGATCCAAAAACTAGATACCAACATATGAGTCATCGGCTTGTTTGGTATATGGTACCCGCCAAATAATAAGAAAACTGCAGTTGTCCAAAATATAACCCAGCTGTTTAAATCGCGTACCTCTGCTTTTTTTGCTTCTCCATTACAACTGTCGCTAAGGGATATATTGTTGATTTTGTTGTTGTTGGTTTTGGTGGTTGTATAGTGAGTGAGATAGAAAGAGAAAAAAGGCGCCAACCCATCCAAATGTGTTCCATCATCACATTACCACAATGACAACAACAACAACACCCTTCTCAATTCGGGTATCTTTTTCTCTTTTTTTAAACGCATGTGCTTTGTAATTTTCATGATTATTATGAAAAAAAATAATGATTCAACCTGAATTTTACAACAAGAGAAAAAAAAATACCAAGTGTCGCCAATGTGTTGGTTCGGGTTGGTTAGTCATCCTTGGTGTGTGTGTGTATTTGTATTTGTAGTAGTAGCATCGGATAAAGTTTTAAATTTCTGGACACAAATGTATGGAACTATTGAATGAAATAAAAAAAAATGTTAGAATGAATGGAACGAAACGAAAAAAAAATTGGTACATGCAATGCTTGGTCATGTATTTATTCTCCTCCTCAGATGATGATATTTCCTATATATTTTTTTCCAATTGACTCATTCGTTCATTTCAATTTACTCCTCCTCATACGTAGTAGTAGTGACAAACCATTAGGTTGCGTTTCTCTCTCTCGTTTTAATCATTTGCGATTTTTTTTACCCAATTCCTTTTTTATTTTGATACTCCAATACCACCACCACCACCACCTCTTCATCAACAATAATAATAATGAAGATAAAAACAACAACAAACTATCGTTTATCTCTTTATAATTTGATCTAATATCGATTGATTTGTTTTCGGAAATCTAATTCCAACAACAAAATATTTAAATCAATCATCTATTTGTTTTCGAATTAATATTTTATCATTCTATTATATCGTTCTCTCTTTTTCGATTTTGGCTTTTCTTCGAATTTTTTTTTGTCATTTCATTCGATTGTTTGTTGAAAAGAAAAAATCTTATTTTTCCTCATTATAATTTACCTGGACAAAAAGAGTTTTGTTGTTTTCTCTACTACTACGATTATGACGACAACAACAATAAACAAGGAAAAACGATTGTCATGTTTGTTGTTGTTGCTGTTGATTGTTGTATGTGTTATTACATCAGAGAATCATTACCTATTTTGAGGATAAATTTTTTTTCTTTTCGATGAATTCACATTTTTAAAGTTGTCTGATAATCGAACAATCATCTCATTTTCTTTGTGTTCTACCCTCCATTCATTTTTATACATACCAACCAATCAACATCCTCACATAATTTTCCATCAACCAGTGGTTGTCATTTCAACAAATTTTTTCGTGTGTGTGTGTACATTTTTTTTTGTTGGCAGCAAGCTCATCATAGTCTTCATCATTCGATGACACACGTCGTTTGATGATAAAAAAATTTTCAATCTTTTTATTTTTCGTTTACGTATGTGTTATGTGTGTGTATTGATATGATATATTAGTGACAATTGCTAAACACAACACAAATCGACTATTCGAGAAATAAATGCACAAGCATACAAGATAAATTGCGTACATTCGAACATTGGCTGTTTTTTTTCTGGTCAATTTTTTTCTAACATTTCGGTATATATCATATAATTCGATTTGTTGTATTCTTTATTGTTCCAAATCGTACACTGGGAGTTGATTGATCATCATTTGATTCACATCCAAACATCCACTTAAATTTATCATTATTCTATATTTGTATTTACTATATTCATAAGAATAATATACATTTTCAAAAAAAAAAAAAAAATGAATGAACCAAGTACAAGTTCTGCAATGAATAAATGTTGTTTCTCACCATTGGGACAATTATTACGAACATTTTTCGTCAAAGGTTTGTTGTTTTTTTTCCATCTAAACTTATCTCACCTCCGTAAATGTCGTTCTTCATTAGTCTATTTTGGTATCTTTTTTTATAGATGACTAATGTTTGCAATGATTTACAAAATTACATTCCTGTATTACAACATTATACTTTAGAAATAAATATATAGAAAGGCGTTTATTACGATTCTCATAAGGTTCATGATGATTGCTATGCTATATATGTGTGTGTGTGTTACACCTCAATGATAATTATCAACTTTCAATTCATATGTTTTATTTTATTTCAAAAAAATACGTTTAATGTTTTGAATCATTCATTTCATTGAACCTGAACATTGTAGACTATCATCATCATCATTATTATTATTTTCATATATAAAATTCCGCGCCCATTACTGTTGATGACCTTTCACCAAACATAGGGTTGAATAAGCGAATGATCCAGGATCTTTGAACTATATAGTCCAATAGACATGTCTGGTTGTGTGTACATTGTACTGCGCTACTGCTACTGTATCAATGGTTGGAGTAAAGGGCATCATACTCTCGTATCTTTGGTTGTAATTTGAAAAATTTTCCTTTAATAATAATAAGTGATTTTATTTGCGTTTTTCCCCCATTAAAATCAGCAGTTCATTTGTCATATCATTTTTTCTTTGGGCACACGATTAACTTTTTCTAAATGTTGTTTGTTCTCGATATATTTTCTACTATAATGATAAATCTTATCTTTCAATCATTATCATCGATCGATTGTCAATAATTTTATTGTTATTGTTTCCTTTATTTGTTTTTTTACTCATATTTAGCTGCAGACATTTTATATTGGCGTGATCCGAAAAATTCCGGTGCCGTATTCGGTGTTGGTCTGGTCATTTTATTCTCATTGACCGTATTTTCGGTCATTTCGGTCGTCGCTTACACACTTTTATTCACCCTGTTGGCATCGTTAACATTCAGAGTCTACAAGAATGTTATGCAAGCGGTCAACAAAACCGATGATGGTCATCCATTCAAGTAAGTTTTTGGATTGTTTGTAAACTATTTATATTTTGTCAACATAATTTCATTGATTTTTTTTGTATTTATTTTGCAGAGAATATTTGGAAGTTGATATTACACCTAACCAAGAAAAAGCTCATGAGATCGCCGACCAAATATTGTCCCATTTCAATTGTTTCGTAAACCGCATGAGAAGTGTACTTTTGGTTGAAGATTATGTCGAATCATTCAAGGTTTGATGTCTAATGAATTTGATTTCATTTGATAATAATTTTTCTCTTTTTATGTAGTATTTGTTCATGTTTTGGGCGCTAACATTTATTGGAGCATGGTTCAATGGAATGACATTAGTCATTTTGGCCTATATCGGAGCATTTTCATTGCCCAAAGTTTATGAAATGAATCAGGCTCAAATTGATCATTACATCAATATGGTAGTTTCAAAAATTAATGAAGTTACCGAAAAGTAAATATTTTTGTAGTTTCATCAAAAAACTATTTGCTTATTTTCTCATTTTTTCTATTTCAAATAGGATTCCTTTCTTGAAAAAGGCATCGGCAGCAGCCGAAAAGAAAGATAATTAAGATCGAAAAAAAAACATTTGGCTAACATTGCTAAATCCAACATTTATTCTCACTTTCTTTATCGTTATCGCATTATCGTTTAAATGATCGTACTTATTTTTATCCTTATAATAATAAATTCTCTATAAACACATACATCCGATTGGCAAACATGCATTTTATTATGACGATGATTTTGTTTACCATTTTTATCTCTCAAAAAGAACGTAGAATTCGAATCGGATGATATGAATATGGATGATAATTTAATTTTTTTTTTTCATCATAAAAGAAACAACAACAGAACAAATAAAATGGTTTGATTTTTTATTTTATTTCATTTCGTTTCGTTTTTGGTTTCCGTTTTTTGTTTTTGGTTTTTGACACACCCAATACACATGTATCACAATCTCATTTATTTCAAAATTCTCACACACACACACACACACACACAACATTTATTTATTGTAAAATTACCATTTGAATTATGAGTGGATGCACATTCATTCATATATAAAGAAAACGGGACACGATTGCTATAACAAAAAATTGGTTATATCGGCACAGAGAGTTTGAGCTCTTTTTTTCTGTATAAAAAAAACAACAATTGTTCAGCATACACTTGGAAAAAAAATAATCATCATACTCTAAATTTCGAATATTTGGTGATTTTTATATTTTACCATTTAATTTATATATTTAGTCTATGTGTAGAGATTATTGTTATTTGGTTTAGTTATGATGATTTTTTTTCTTCACCCACCACTCAATCATTTTTGACCTCAATATAATCAATGTTGATCCCCCACCCATATCCACTAATTCATATTAACTACAGCATCGGATGGTTCACTATGGAATTCCAATCACACAACAATGATTATCAACTTTTAAAACAACAACAGACATAATATTTAATGAAATATTTGATTAATTCATTACTAATTTCTATTTAATGATTTTTTTCCACTCTAAATAAACGATTATCATCATTCTATCAAAATTATTGTCTTTTTTTTATTTCACTTTTTTTGACAATTTTCTGCGCTAGATGGCGATACTACATATATTGATCTAATAGATTTCAAGTAAAAAAAAAAGCAATTTTTATTCAAAACAAATTACTGCAAAACAATATAGAGGGATATTTACACATTACAATTATTCAAATCAAGTGATAGACAGACCATAGAACAAACGTGTATAAATAATAAGAAAAAAAGGGTTTATCGTTAAATGATGATGATAATGATGATGATAATCAGTGGATGAGTGAATGAAATTTGTCAAAGAAAGATTTTCAAAGAGAAAAAGAGAGGCACATTAAAGTGAAGATTTGTTCAGCATTTGTTGATTGATTGGTTGATTTTGTTAGTTTGTTGTTATTTCAAGATTGTAATAAATGATTGTACTTGAATCTCAGTTAGGGTAATATTCATATTTTATCATCATTATTATTATTGCTTAATGAAAATGAAAATGTTGTATTACACATTAAACGTACCACTCGTGTGGATCTTTCTTCTTCATACCACTTCCACTATAATCTTGTGTTGGTGTTCCTGGTCTTGTTCCGGGTCTTGACATACTAACTCTACCCAATGAATTCATACCAGGTGGTATTTGTTGCATTCCCATCATTGCTGCATGTCCGGTAATTCCACTTACAGAAGTTGCACGGACAACAGGATTGTACGGTTGATAAGATGAACCATGTAAAGGCATGGTTGCTGACATTTTTGGTCCAAATGTTTCAATTTTATATGCCGCTTGATTGGCACTGTAACGAACTTTTAGAAATAAAACAATTGGACCAATGACAACTACAAGTATTAATAATATTGCGATTGCACTAATAATGATCACAGTTCGTTCAGAGTTTGCACGTGTCAAAATCTCTGGTGGTATTTGTTGTGGGTCATCTGGTCCCATTGTTTGATTAATAATATCTAATGGTATATTCAATGGTACATCATAAATTTCGGGTGGTCCTTGTGGTTCAATTGCTGGCGTAATAATTGGACGTGTTGGACCATTTACCGAATAGACTGGTTTTGTCCATGATGGTGCTGTTGTTTTTGGTCTCATTGGATATTGTTGTTGATGGTGGCTATTACCGCCACTACCATATGGATCATTTGAATTATGATAATAAGTTGGTGGTGTATTGTAAGAATTCCATGATGGTTGATTTGGTGAATATGGCGGACGATTAATTGGTGCAATAGTTGGTGGAATCCATGTGGTCCATGGTCGAGATGTTGAAGTGTAATAATCAAAACTTGAATAATTATATTGACGATTGTTATTGTAAGATGACGATGGTCTTTCACCTGAACCTTCAAAACAATCATCATCATCTTCATTTTGGCAAGGGCGACGCCAAACATCTTTATCGTTTCCACCACGATTACGATTCGAAAATGTTGAGGACGGAGTTGGACGAAATCTATTGACAGATACATAGACTGGAGTAATGAGTTCATCACCTGATCCTTCATTGGCAATATGTGCACATTCCTGTTACGGGTTAGGAAAAATAGATTAAAGTCTCTAAAATTATTATGATCTTCACATCATTACCTCATCTTCATTAACATCGAAACAACCGGAACCGGCACTCGAATAAATCAAATCATCATTTGCATACGGACTTTTTGGCTCAGCTAGCATTTGATTATTCAGGTGATCATTGTTTGAAGTTGGTGGTGTTATAGCCATTGTTTGTTGATTTCCAATCGAAATCATTAGCTCTAAATCACCTTCGGTTTTGATTCGTGGATCATCTTCAGCTGCCATATCCAAAAGACGATGACCATTGAAAACCAAACCAGCAATGATACCGATAAAAGGTTTTTCAATCACACCACGAAGAATATTTTTATGTCCACCAATTTGAATATAAGCATGACGATTGAAAATATTCAATTGTTTTCCAGCTGGTGATCGAGTTATAACATTATGATTATCAATTTGTAATGTTGAATTCTGTCCGGAACGTGTAAAACGAACGATATGATATTTTCCATCATTAACTTTGATGCCCAGATCACCAATATCAATATCTTCAGTGCCAAGATTGTAAACAGCCAAAACATTTCCATCGACAAGTTCCAATTGAAAATAATCAGCAGTAGTAGCAGAATCTACTCGTACTAATGCACCGTTTTTATTACTGGTTAAAAATCCTAATGCCAAAAGATCATTCCGGGTATCTGGTCTATTATTCTCATCGAATGTAAAACTAATCAAACCAGGACTAGGACCAAATTGATATGCTGTGCTTTCTGTTTTATAACAAAGAAAAAAAAACGGTCAAATTAATCAGAAAAAATATTCAAAAATGAAATAAGAAACTAGGTCTACCATTACCATTACCATCTGCGCAAGTTGGTCCAGAAAATGTCGTCAAATCGCAATCACAAGTATAACTATTCCATAATTGAACACAAATTCCACGATTAGCACAAGCGGTTGAACTACATCGTGTTATCGGTGCCGAACATCCAGATTCAACCAATGTACTAGGAATCAAAACTTCACGACCAACCAGATTGTAAGTTTCACCATTCAGATCTAATGATGCGATACAACCTTCGAAACCGATTTTTGATTTGATTACTTTTGGTAATGATTGCCACATATTATCGCGAACACCACCAACATAGAGAAGACCATCAAGATCTAGATGTAAATTACGTTCACTACCGGATGTACTGATTGTCATTAATGAATCATCGATAAGCATTGTATGTTGATGTAATGATGGCCTGCCTAACGTAACCGTATGCCAACGATTATCATTTAATGATGTACGACTATTTGATTGTAATCGACGTGCGCCATCACCTAAATCAAAAATATAATGAACATTTCCATTGACCATTTCGACCGCAATAAAATCATGTTTTTGGCCACCACCATTAAATAATAGTAAACCATTTGGTTCACGCGTCTTGAATTGAAAATAAACATTTAAACGAGAATATGCTTTCAATTGTGGTAGCCCGACAAATGTATATTTTGATTTGAACGTGACTGCATTGTGTAGAACACGATCTTTTTTGCCTAGTTTAGCTGTGATACGAATCGATCCATTTGGTAATTGACCATCGCGTATTTTTTCGAAATACTGTTGACTATTGAATACAAAATTTTGCATCTGACCAATGAAACCGGCAAAATGTTTTTTCTCTATATATATCCAGAGAACAATAAGAACAACAACAAAAAAAAGAACAAACATTGTAGGACATTAAATTCTTTGAACAAAAATAAAAATCAAATGACTTACGATGAGATTTGTGTATGTTGAGACGTGCACCAATATGTATGGCACTAATATGTAGCGTAAAATGTTGTCCAGTTAATTCAACAACTTGTTTTGTTGTTTGATCAATAGTGATTTCCAGATTTGGACCACGACGTTCCAAATGTATTGTATGCCATTGATCATCATTAAGTTTCTGGTCAACCATTCCGATACGTTCCATTTGTGTGTCACCATAATTAAAATCCAATCGTATAGAACCCGATTCCAATGATAATGTCATAAAATGATCATCCAAATATGAATGAGAAGTGGTCAACAATAAACCATTTGGTTTATTAGTCCTAAATCGTAATGATAATGATTCAGCTTGTGTTTGCATTTCTTCAGGCAACAGTATAGTCATATATTGTTCACCATTAAAACTGACTGTGGCTGCATCTGTAATAAAAGAAAAAAAATTGTGGCATTTATTAAGTGCAAAGTTGTAAATGTCAAATGATTGTTATGAAATAGAATTAAAAAAGAATATTCTTTCTCCTCGATGTATGTGTGTGTGTGTGTGGGTGGGTGTTTGTTAATGTGTATTTAACATTTCATCATCATCATCATCATCATAGATACCACTTACTTTTGGTGCATATTGATCCAGTGTAGGATGTTTTAGTGCAATCACAATAATAACGATTCCATCCTTCCATACATTGTCCACCATTCTGGCATGGAGAATTGCTACATTGTGATGAAAGTGAATGACATGATGGTTTTATGCTACCAGAATCTTGACGTTTTGTAAGGGTTGCTATATCAATGATACGATCATTAATATATAAATCTCGTACACATCCAATATAACCATGACCAATAGATGATGACCATAATTCTGGTGGTGTATATGTTTGTCGTTGTCCAACGAAATGTGGTATACCACCCAAATAAATTAAATCACTTAAATCAAGACGATTAGATTGTCCCGGTGAAACAAAATCACTAATTGTTTCATCAACAACAACTTGACCACTTCGTTCCGATCTTCGTACAGTTATCATATGCCAATGTCCATCATCGACACGTTTATTTGTGGCCTTGACTTTGATCGGTGATGATCCTAAATTTATCAATAGATATACATGTCCATCAAGCAATTCAAGGGCAAAATAATCTCTTGTAACATTTTTGTCGGGTTTTCCATCCGTATAAAGTAATACACCATTAGCTTCATTTGTACGTATCTTCAATGACAATGTTCCTTCTTTGGGCGAATTCCATCCATTTAATTTCAGATACGATTCAGATGTAGTGAATGTTATTGGATCAGAAACATCAACATCTTCACAGATCATCGATGATGATTGTTGTGAATGATTACCATACAATCGAATTAAGCCATCCGATTGCCAATCTTTTAAAGAATTCAATGATGATTCTCTAGAGATCGATTTACCATCAGGCTTCTCATAATTATAGTTGTCATTTTGTAAGATTTCCAATAAATCTAATCGAACATTATCAGCTGTCAAAATAATCTATTTCAGTTTTGTAAAAGCAAACATGGATAGAAAAAAAAATTAAATAAATTGAAGATTTTTATCGGCTGAAAATTCAATCCTAATCATCACAAAAAACAAACCTTTCGTAAACATCCAACAAAATTACTGCTAGTTGTAATTGGATTAGATGTTTCAACTGCCGAATTATGAGCAATACCACCAACATAGAAAACTTTGGAAATCAGATAAGATATTGGACTGGCTGTCGATCCATATTGTGTATAGATTCCATCAACACTGATCGAAAACTATTTAATAAAAAGGATGAGAATATAAATGATTAAATCAAATAGAATTTCTTTCGTGAATGACAATCTTACATGACAAAAATATGTTGATGGTGATATTTCACGAATACGACGCCATACTAACACTGTATGCCATTGATTGTCATCAAAACGAACTTTACTTGGTTTGATTGTTTTTTCATGTACATTTGATCCCAATTTCATTGTCAACGTTAGGCCTGCATCACGAATTGTGATGGCCAAATAATCTTCATATTCATCACTGGTCAACAATAATAGGCCATTGGCTATTTTTGTACGAAACGAAAGTTCAAATGATTCTCTTATGCTAACTAATGACCATGCATTTGGTAGATCCATATAATTATAGCCCAAATATTCGCCCAGATTTCCATGGAATGTGGTTTCGGCCAATCGTTTTTCTACATAGAAATGGAATTTATATTTTTTTTTTTTTGTATGATCAAAACAATCATAGAATAAATATGTCAATAAATGAATAAATGAAAATAAATCCTACCATTTTGGCAATATGTTCCTTCAAAATCTGTGATTGAACAATCACAGTAAACACCATTTCTAGTTGTATAACAATATCCACCATGTTTGCAACGATCTTGTATTGGATCACATTCTAAATCATGTTTAGAATTGGAAAATTCAGCAAAAAGTCCATAATAAGTAACGGGCAATTGTGGTTGATCATTTGAGCTTTGTAATTGCTGCTTAACATTATCATTATCGTCATTTTTGTAACGATATGAATATTTTACATTACGTATGGCACCACGAAAATGAAGCTCATAAGCAACGGTTGGTAATGCTAGATGAGCTAAATTTTGATTTCGATATTCTTCCGGTAAACCACCAATAAAAACTGATTTGCCTTTATGATGACATTCTTTCGGTTGTAAAACATAACCAATAACAGTGGTTGATAGTTCCAATTTTTTATGATACGTTTCTGAATCAATTTTCAATGTAATTGCTTCAAAGTGTTCATCATAATTAATTACATTTTCAATAAAATTATCTTTATTATTATTATTGTTTTCGATTGTCGACAATTGATAATGATGAATAAGCTCTAAACGATGCCATTGACCATCAGTGAAATTGATCTCTTGTTTTAATTCGATTATATTCTTTGTACGAACCAAAGAATTATCATCGATTCGTATACGTAAATTGGAATCGGAGAGTAGTTTGATCTCTAAAAATCTTCCACCAATTCCCGTTTCATCATCGGTATATAATAATAATCCACCTAATGGACGACTTAAGGTACTTTGATCTAATTGATAACGAAATTCGAAACTAATTGATGCTTGATCAAGTTTCGATGACGATGATTCGACATTGTGATCAATATTTTTTCTATAGAAAAAATGTTTCCATGATTGAAATTGAAGATATGAAGATGATGTACCATCTAGATACCATATTGGTGATTCATTATTATTGGATAATATTAATGGTGATGGTATTTGTTGTCGTTGTTGGTCAGTATGAACAAAAACAGGAAATATTATACCAAACAAAAAACAAATCAAAATAATGACGAAAGAATGAACACTATTGACTACAATGAATTGATCAAGGCATTTTTGTATCATAATTTGTTGATTTTGTTTTTTTGGTTATTTAATTTGTACCAAACAAAAAATACGTACACACACACAGTGACAATATTTGAATGAGCACAAAAAACAATTTTTTCAAATTATTGTCATTTTTGTATCAACGGAAAAAAACCAAAACAAAAAAAAAATCATAATTTGGTTCATTTATAAATAATGTTATGTTATGTTATGTGTTATATTTAATGTTCATAATCAACGTTTAATTTATGTTGTTTATGTGTTTGTGTGAGTAAAGTTTATAATGTTGGCATGAATCAAAGATGTTCTAGACTTGATGATGATGATTTTGGTAAATAAATAATGACCAATTGGCTAGGACACACACACTCAAAAGAGAATAAAGAAGAGAAAAATATCGAGCAAACGTAGAACAAGAATTTAGTGACAAAAAAAAACAGTGAAATTCACATTATTTGATGATGAAATTTTTTTCTCTGTTATTGTTGTTGTTGTTTATTTTATTTCAATGGGTTACAACAAATACCAAGAGAAGAAAATAGAAAAAAATTACAATTTTTTATTATGTAAAATCTCCAGAGAAAAATGTGAGAAAAAAATTCTGGATAATACAAAAAAAAATTGGATATGGACGGCGATGATGATGTTGATGATGATGATGATAGTGTTTAATCGGGAAAAGCAGAAGAATTTCTTCAATGTGAATTATTTTTTTTTTGATCAAAAAAAAACTGGGAAACCAGAAAAAAAAATTGGAATCCAGACTGCAAGGATTCAGAAAAAAAAAAGAGACGACGAAAAATAGAAGAAAACACACTGTGAGAACAACAATGAGAATTTTTTTGTTTGTTGAAATTGGGAATAAAAAAAACAAGGAGAAAAAAAAAAAAAATATAATTGAACACAGAATCCAACACGCATACAGAGATAGAGATGATGAAAAACAAGAGAAAATTGGAAAAAATAACCGAAATTTTTTTCTCTTCTTTGAACTCAAAAGCTTGGTGATTTTTTTTTCGCTGTGCTTTCTCGATGCCCAAACACACAGACAAACACACACACACAAACACTGCGTCTGTATTATATGGTTCTTTACCCAATATTCTTTTGATAAATATTTGACTCAAAATATATACGATGGACCGAAAAAAAAATTCGAGACTCATACAAGATATTTTAGACGGGAAAAATCCAATTCCCGAAACACAGACACACACACACACACACACGATGACAGACATAGAGACACACAGAACAGTGAAACCAAAAGTATGTAGAGTTCAAATTTTTTTTTAATATATAGAAAGAATATATGTTCCAAGAGAAACAAATATAATAATAAAAATAATGGAAAAAAACGTTGATGTTGTAGCCATAGTCTTCTTCTTCTTCTTCGTCGTCGTCGTCGTTGTCGTCAGCGGTAAATTAATGTGAGTGCCCGTTAGTTGAATTGATCATTGACAATGGAATGGGCACTGAGCAAACTCGGTGTCTATGATTCTTCAAAGATTTCTTCAATTTTTCGTTTTTCGTTTGTTATTTTTTTTCCTGTGATTGACTGACAAGTGAATTGTATGAAGAATTTTTTCCAAATTCAATTCGCATATATATAATGGAGCAAAAGAAAGATAGAAAAATAAAGACAACCCGGGTTTTGGACTCTTTTGGAATCATTATTTATTATATTTCATTCATTCTTCATTTCATATGAAACGGAAAAACCCGAATGGAAATACCGTATAACCGAAATGAAAGTGAAGCAATAAAAATATTTCGGAAAGAAAGAAGACCAAGAAGAAACAGATGGGAACCAGAAAAAAATTGAAGAATTTCTAGGAATGATGAACATGCGCTTGAAATTTGCTTTGTAGGACGAATACACCACCACCACCACAACGACAACAACAACAACAAAAAAAGCCGGGATTCCTCCGGATGGTATTTACAGAATATATATTCATTCATTGCATTCTTTGAGGCCATTGGCGTTTGTTGTGTATGTTTCAATTTATATAGGAAATGATAGTGAAGAGAAACAAAAAAAAAATAAAAGGATACCATCACGAAAATATCCAAGCGACATAGGAGCAAAGAGTTTTTCAATCGTTTGTGTGTGTGTGTGTGAATGGTTGTCATTGATCTGCAGCTGATCTCTTTCTGTAGCTATTCCAAACTATATTTTGTTAGATATTTCATTTGGTTAGTCGACTATGAAACTAACCGGAATCGGGTAAAAGAAAAAAGTTAACAACAAGATCGAGAAAAAAATCTTTCTTCAAAACAGTCTGACATCTCATCGCGAATGGTGTTTTTGTTCTATTGTTGTTGTTGCTTTTGTTGTTTCAAAAAAAAGACCAGATTCTTTTCCTTTTTGATTCTATTGAATTTTTTTTTTATTTTGTCAATTTTTTTTCATTACAAAAATAACATCAACAAAATCATTGATGATGAAATTGAGGGAAAACAAATCATAGAATCTTAACGAAGTTTGCTGCTGCTGTTGTTGTTGTTGCCTTTCTTTTCAATGGTAGATCCTGAAAAAGCGCTGAAAAGCTTAAACTTTATTCACCATTGAATCTAGCTGTTTTTTTTGGATCGATCGAAACAAATTTTTTCCATGCTCATCATGGAATGACGCGCACACACACACACACACAGAGCACAAACATGGACCAAAAATGAGTAAATTGAAGAAGACAACGTGAATAAAAGAATCTTTTTGGCGTTTGTTTCATCAGTGAATGAATGAATGAATGGATGAATCGAATGAATGGACGTAATGGATCCCAATAATTTTAGTGTTTCACATTCACTTTTTCTCTCACTCTTTGTTTGTTTTAAATGTTTTCAATGCACAAAAAAAATTTTTTTTCTGTTCGACTTTGAACAACGATAATTTGTTTCTTTTGTTTGCTTTTTTTATTCTCTCTTTCTCTCTCCCTCTCTCGATTATATTTTACTTTGTTGTTTGAGAATCGAAAGCAAAAAACGAATAAAAATGTAGAAGAAGATATAGTGAATCTCTTTTTATATTTATCGACGACAAATCGAAAAAGAACCAAAAAAAAAAAAAACGCTTCAGTCAGTATAATATAGTAATAATAAGTATACTCGTGTAACGACATTTTGTTTCATTCTTCATGGAATGGATTGGTAACAATGTTCTCCTATCGTAAAATTGGTAATGACAATAATGGTAGTCCACAAATATTAAAAAAAACCCATATCCATCCAAGAACAAACAGAAGAGAAAAGAGAAAAAGAAACATGAACAAGCCATCCATTATTCCAGAATTGTGAAACTCCCCTACCACCACCACCACCACCACACCGCCACCACGATTCTTGTATAATCAAAATTATATCAAGTATACCGATTTTATTTTCATATTTTGTTGTTGTTTATCTCAGAATATTTTTTTTTTTCATTTCATTCTAGTATGAAGTCATGTTTGTATGTATTACATAATTTATAAACATATTTGTTGTAAGTGTCATCATCATCATCATCATATTCTGATTCTTTTCAAACTTATTCTGATGATTTCAAGTGTGTTCATTGAATGTTTTCTTCTTTTGAATGAATATATATTATTTGTACTTGGCCAAAACATTTGATATATTTATTCTAATGTTGGATTCATACATACATACATACACGAATCTTGAATTTCAAATGGTCCAAATACAATCAATGAATCGAATGAATTAGATAAGCGCCAAAAGATAAATAGAATTAATCAACATCAAAACAAACAAACAGAACAGACCAAAAAAAAGTTTAGCTAAAAACTTTGTTTTTGTGTGTTTATTCATCATTCTTTTATTTGTGAAAAAAATTACAAGACTTGATCTCGACTCTACATTAATCTTTTTTCTTTTCTCCTTTCTTCAATCATCAATCGTCGATATTTTATTTCAAAAACAAATCAAGTACACAACGTTTGATGATAGATGGCAGTATAGGCCTTGAACAAAATAAAATTTATCGTTTCTCTCAAAACTGATTAGATAAATGAAACGATAAAATAATAAAGGTGATATATAGTGTGTGTGTGTGTGTATAAGTCTGTTTGTGATGGATAGGTGTAATTATTTTGATTTTTTTTCCAGTGTTAGAATACATAATTAATAGGAAAAGAATAATAACGACGACGACAAACAACAACAACAACAACAACAGCAAAGATTAATTACCGTGCAAACTGAATTATCATATAAATTTATAGTTTTTGTTGTTTTTGTTGTTGTTGTTGTTGTTGTTGTTGTGCTCTGTTTCAATCCATCAAGTTTTTTTCCATAATACCAACCCGATGGCAAATGAAACTTTTTTTTTTAGTTTATATGTGGAAAATGTATATTTGGCCAGATGTCTGTATGATGGTTATGACCTGAAATAAGGGATGCGGCTTTTCAACTACAACAACAACAAAAACAACAACAGGATGTGTATTGGTCAAGTAATTTTTCTTCCATTCATTCATTCATTATATTCAATCGACAAATCGTTGTTGTTTTATTATTATTATTATTATTATTCGAATAACAACAATCATTTGGCGCCTAGCCATAGGCGAAAATACAATCAAAAAGAAGAAAATATCTCCATAACAAATACATTATCGTATATATTTGAAGATCGATGATGATGATGATGATGATGATGATGGAGTTATAGACAACAGTTTGGACATTAGATCATACAAAGATTGAGAATATAGGAACTAGAAAAAAAACGAACTAAACGATATACAATAATACTATAATATAATATTTTTAGAGTCAATACAATGAAATGACAAGGTATATTTTATATAAAATGGATGATACTTGTTGCTATTCACTTGATGATGATGATGATGATGATAATAATTAACCAAACCAAACTAAACCAACTACTTTACTCTCTATCGTTCTTAACTATGTACTTTGAAACATCTTTGAACATCTTTGAAATGATGATGACCGAAAGAAATATACCAACCTACTAAATGTTTGTATGTATGTGTGTAGTATAAATATATACCTGGACATTGCCAAAAACATTAAGTAAACGAA